ATGCACTTAATTCAGACATGACAGTTTCCAGTTTTGGACAAAATGTGCTTAATTTTTTCCCCTACTCGTATATTAAATTGACACATTTTCATATTGCAACAGCATAGACTGTTAAATAAAATGCACAGATAACCCTAAATAGACTACGAGAGAGGATTAGGGGAGAAAAAATGAAAACAATTACTGTCTGCAATTTAAATTACCTAATTTTTAGAACTGATGCAAATTGATTCATTCAAAACTTTATGGATTTCTAGCCACGGAACTTGACAGCATGCATAAATAAATCAAAAAGATATGACATGCCTGTTGCACATGGTGGTAATTAAATATCAGCATTTAAAAGATAAGTATGAACTACATTCTTTTCTGAATTGTAATAAGGAGCAACAAAGCAGAGGTCAGCACCAGCTACTCTTCTCATGATTTTCATCAAAGCTTTCCAGAACTAGCTGAAACATTTAGCAGTCTCACAACCAGCAATTAGCATATGATTCAGCATTTTGATTGGGAGCCTTGTTGTGTTTGCTATGTTTGCTCACCAAGTAGAGCTGCACTAAATTAGCATTAATGAATGTTATGGCCTCTCATCAGTGTGACAGGTCTATTCTTTAGATCGGTTTTAATTGTAATTAAGACCTGATTAACAAGTTGGGGGATGTTTCACACTCAGTTCATGAATGTAGCATAATATGCTATGAAGGCAATCAAGGGGTTGTCATTTTATTTGTTAATGAGGCTCACCCATATGTCAAAACAAACTTAACTTATTGTCTCTACAGCAGCAGTGTTTGAAGCCCTCTGTTTAACTGCTGCTCTCTTCATTTTTCTGTCCTGTATGAATTCAATTAATGGTTACATGTTTATCTGCAACAAACAATGTCAATGTTTATCAGTAATTCAGAACTCTTTAGACACTTTAATTGGCAAATTTTGCAAATGTTATGTTGAATTAATAAAAAATTGTGGTTTTCTGCTGTGTGGTTATGAGCAGCCTGTGTGTCTGGAAACAACAGGGATGATGTATTTCATTTTGAAAAATTCAGAGGAAAGTGTAAAGGAAAAAAAAAAAAACTTCAACCAAACAACTTGAATTGACTGCAAGCATTGAAGCTGCTGAATGTATCGACTTACAATTCCTGTAGTTTAATCCCAGTACAAAAAACTCAGTAAGCTTAAGAGAAAATTGTCTAATACAAATATGTGGAGAAATAATAGGATATATCTAAATTACTATGTTTACCATATGTAAAGGAAATAACTATTACAGACAAATGATCTAAAACCCAGTGGACTCTGCTGATCAAGTGGAGTTGTACACATTGAGCAGTGAAAAGCAAATGTTTCTTAGTTGCTTGAGTGATTAAAAAGTGAGTGATAGAAAAAACCTTGAAACTGTTGCATTTAGAAGTGAAAAACTTCTTTAACATTTCCTTTATTGACCCTTTGGACCAGAAAATGTGGCTTCACTTCACTTTACTCACCTTAAGGCAAGACTATGGTGCCTTTTTGCCTTATCTCCATGTGTTTTATTAAAAATTATAGATTCAACCAGGAGGGTAGAAGTCAGTCTGTCTGTGTTAGGCCCCTGACTCACCATGCGTGGAACTAACAGGACTGCTACACATTGGTTGGTTTGCATAAAGGGGAAGAAGGTTTTAGTGGGCCAAGAGAGGCATGTTTTGATAATGTGTAATTTGTGCAACGACACACAGCAGCAGGATTTAGAAGTTAAAAGAAGATACACTAGTTAACTTTTAAGTGTGATGTATTTTGCTGACCTCTGCCTTTTTAAAGAGCTGAAGCTATTTAGGTTGATGGGGTTAACTCTGGACCCGGTTCTTTTAGGGATGCAAATATATTTGAGCTGAAATGTACAATGCATACAATATATCAGTGCTGGACAACACTAAGGAAGAGAAGTGACATCCATTGACATTAAACACTTCCATTACACTGATATAAAATCCCTGCTGCTTTGGATCCTTTGCTTACATAAAGTCAAAACAGTTTAGTCTGCAGGCTTGAAAGAAATAGTAATAATTTAGTATTTCACATTAAATACCATGAACTAGTTTAAGAATTTGCATGTAGCCTTTATTGTAGCTTTCAAATTTCTATCAATGGAGATTCTTAAAGCTGTCCTAAAACATTTACTAATGCATTAATCAAAAATAATTGGCAAATAATGTTAAATGGCTCCAACAGCCAGAATACAATTTGCTTATATTATTGTCTAATATGTTTTTGCATTATAATACTATCTGTAGTTGTACTGCAATAGTAATAACCTTTGTTTAATGTAGTTCAGCGCTGCATTCTATGTCAAGAGAACCATTTTCACAGACTTTTCAAGTCACTAAAAACTGCATCCAGAAAAAATGTGATTTCATGCCAAGTTAATCTTATGCTCAAATTGAAATTCTGCATAAATACAGGCAGATTAAAATGGGCCGTGTACCCAGAAAGGGGAACTCTGTTACTTTGGGCACAGTCAGAGAATCACTGCAGGCATCCTTTGATTGCAATATCCTTTTTCATGCCCAGTATGAATAAACCTTGAGGATAAAATATCTAAAAGGTCCCTTTCTCCCTTTCCTTTCATATTATCTGTTGGAATCCTCCACTTGTTGGGCTTGATCTTTTAATGCATGGGGAATGTGATGATTTGTTTTAAAAAACTGCCTAGCAGTTAGAATATTCATATTAGCTTAGCAAAATAATGTGAAATCTTTAAAGTAATATCCTAAAACACTGTTTTATTAATGGACCGGCTAATGGATTGCTGAACAAAGCTCTGAACTTAATGGGAGAATTTTCTCCTGCTGAATCTTACTGACTTAGAGCTCCTTATTGGAGATAGTGCGACATTTAACATTTAGAAGCCAATCTTTTCCAATCTTTATCATTTTTAGGCTCAACTGGAAAGAAGAGTGAGGAGGCACATTTTTTGGCTTTTACAAAGCATTTTAATATCACAAATTCAGAGCAGATGCTTGCGAGCAAATTTCCAACCGTTTGCTTATGATTAACTTAATTTTTCTGGCATTGCTGCGATCTAAGAGAAGTCTAAGTTGACACCTGACTTTTAACTCACTGTGAAATTTCTTGGCAATCAGAAGATAGGGTGAAACTGCGTTATGTTCTTCTATTTTCAGTCTGGAGTTTCCATTTTCCCTCCGTGACCCAAGAGAAATAAGTGTTTTGTCTCCTCCAGAACAATTATTCCTTTGATTCATCTGGTTTTATTCCAGCTCTGTTTGTTTCTTTGATTTATTTCTAGTTACCAAGGAACCACAGAGGAGCACGTGAGGGAAGGGGGAAGAGGGAATTTGAAAGTGAAAATAATTTTTTTTTCCAAAGCGGAAGCGAAAAGCAAAAAAAAAAAAAAAAAATGTAAAAGCTCTGCTTGAAGTTTCCTTTAGTTTAGTAAAAGTAAAAAAACAAAAAAAAAACAAACGATGACTAGATTAATGCAACATGCATCTGTTTTCTTAACATCTAAGTATGTATGCATGATTTCCCCTGAAAAGCATCACTGGGGGTTGGTGGTCCTAGGTGGGTTGTATCTTAGCCCCTCTGCTCTCCAGGGTTCTTCTGTCTCTGCACCTTGTCAGCTTCTCAGACTCACTCACTTTTGGATCTCAGTGATGCTCTGATAGAGTGTTAGACTGGCAAAGATGTGCAAGAGAGGCTATTAGCCGCTTGTCTTTCTAGTCCTCTGAGAACATGAAGGGCTCATTAGCCCAGTGAGCTCAGCTGTCCTCTGGTACAAAACCCGCAGGCACAGTCCAATTGTGTTTGTGGATAAGCATGTCCATACGTTTCACGCCCTATGGCAAACTGTCTGTTCTATATATTAGTCTACAATTAAGTCATTTTATTCCACAAGGCCCAATTTTAATATAGCTGATGTTGTTTTAGGAGACATCACAGAAATCATATTTTTAAAAAAAATGTTTGTTTAATTCAGATGGACCATCAAAAATGTGGATTAAGTCGGTTGAAAGTAATATATTTGCTTTACTTTTTTTTTACTAATGTCATTTTCAGGCACTTTACAGAGATAATTCAACCTGATCAAGCAGTCAGATTGGTTCAAAGTTTTCTATCTAAGGAAAACCAGCTGACTGCATCGACTCATTGACTCCAGTATATCCCTCACACCAATATAAGAGTTTGTTATTTCTATAAATATTGTTAAAGACATGAAATAGCAGAAGCAACAAAACAAATGGACAAATTGGATTTTAAATGTACTTGATGATTATATTTCAGGTTATATTTAAAATTTTAATGCTATCTGCAACTTTAATGTCATGAATACCGAATCTCTAAAAAGTAACTGCATATGCAGGACTTCTGCTTAGTCTATGCTATCCAGTCTGACATTTTAATCTAGAATAAAACGAGATCCAGTCATTTTTTGTTTATGTACACCAACAGAGGGAGGAAAATGTATTCAACGTAGAGTTTTTAAAGAGTACTTTTTTTTTTCAACATTTTGTGAAATTTTATTTTTTTCATGTTAACGGAGAAATTATTTCACAAACGAAAAAGATAAAAATACTTTGGCATCTTGATTAAAAACATATTGTTGAAAGTTTTCTTCTTAGTCATACTTTTTTCCCCCCATTGGACTGGAGTAACACATGAATGTATGAATGACAGCATATTTTCAGGGAATTTGACTATAATAAGATCAAATACACAAGAGCCCAGAGCGTAAAAAGAAACAATCAGATAAACAAACTGAAATCCAAATACAGGGGGGGTTATGTCATCTACCAACTTCTAGCATTTTTTGGTAGCTTAGCTTCTAAACAGTCAGATGAATGTGCATATGTTAAATTTGGTTACATAAATGTTCTCTTAATCTAAACATCAACTTTGTGCAATGGTAAATCCATTCCTCATTCATAAGAACTCCAATTTAAACTAGGTCCTGTGAATCTGCACGACACTACTTATAATAGCAATATGTTATTTGCATTTTACAGGTGAACGAGGAGACGGTGGAGAGGCTGGTGATCCAGTACCCACACATCGTGTTCAGCACAGTGATGCAGGACTGCAAGAGAACCCTGGAGAGAGCTTATCAAATGGGTTGGAGCCCCAACACGTCTAACTCTTCATAGCTACTCCTGCATTGCACACACACACACAAACACACAGTTTTACATGACCATGTCCACTTCAGTGCAGATCATCCATCTGGATTTCTCTTTCAACCTTCAGTCTTGAATGTTAAACATGTAGTGACACACTTACAGGCAAAACAAATAAAATAAATCTGGTAATCAGAGATTTTTAAGGTCAATCCATGTTAGTTTGTTATATTCATAGGGAAGAGACTTAATACTTCTACCACATTTTGGTTGTAATGCAAAACTACTTTTACAAACATAATTTTCTGTATTCCTGCCTCAGGGTGGGACTATAAAATGTCTTGTTAGTTTGGTAGATAAAGGTGCAAGCAGTTTGAGTAGGTGTTACAATAGATATCTGTAAAATAAATTAACAAAAGAAGAGTTCTTACATCAAAGTTATTTAGCCATAGTTAGACCAGAGTAGTTTTATTTGAAGATTGGACAATAACTGTTTGTTTCCTTAGATGAAACCCTTGTATTAAAACTCTTCTCCATGTCAGCCCATCAAGAGTTTTTATTTTACCAAACCACTTCACCCAGCTGCTGAGGGAGGAAGCAGAGAACATGAACATATCGCATTTCCCATCTGACCACTTAGGCCCAGGGGTCAGACTGAACTGCCATGGCTCTGGACCTAACTTGAGGCGTTTTAAAGAAAATGGTCAGATGAGGCATTTTCTTCCATTTGGACAATAGTTTTCCTCTCTCTGGGCATTGGCGGATTTAACCTTTTCGTGGATTTTTTTGGGACCATTGACAAGCCACTGTGTGAGAAACACAGGACTTGGTCAAATGCTCGGCCCAGAAATTCTAATCGTCAAGCCAAGAAGAGTGCATGTTTCTGTGGGTTTTTTTGTTTTGATTTCTGTTTCAGAGTGTTAACAATGTGAAGGGAAAACAGATCTGTACGGCCTTGGGCTCTCCTGCATATTTGCAGGGCAAAGATGAATTATGACTGAGCATCACATAATCTGTTTGGTATGAAAATTAGCATTGTCAGAAACAGTGGTTGCCTTTTTTAACTAAAAGGAAAAAAAAAAGACATTGGATAATGTTTTCATAACATAACCTGCAGTAAAAGTAAAGCTGTTGTTAATTCCTATCAGAATAAGAGCCTGAATCCCACTTTACTGAAGTGATTCTTTAGTATAAGTTTAGATGGAATCATATTTTAAGTCATATAAATCGCATGGGATTTATTTAGCATATACTTATAGATAGTTTTGATTGTACAGTATCCTTGTTAGCAATAGCTCTGAAATGCAGTGAGCTATTTAGCTGTATTTAGCCAAAGGCATCATAATCTCTTCTGTTTGAATTGCACAACTGGATCCTGACTCTTTGAACACACATTTCAGAATCTTAAAGTGTAATTTAAGTCTGTTTTTTGAAGAATGGATCCTTGGGTTTCTATAATTCACAGGATTTACAGTTACATATTTTACAGCCGCCAACAATAATGCAAAGAAGAGCAGGGGTGGGTATGGACTGGACAGGAACATAGACCGGTGAAGGGACTAGACGGTGATTTTACACAATTGCCGCACAACTGTAAGCAGAGATAGCAAATGTTTGTTGGCTTCTCTCTGTAGTAGAGTAAGTTTCGCAAAAACTAGTGAAAGTTAGCCCAAAAGAATGGAACATACTTCATTTGTTCAACAGAAACTCAGTACTGTAAAAGTCAAAGAATCAGGGTACTTTTCTAAGGTGTGAGTCACTTCTGGTCCTTAATCATCATCATCTCACTGGAAGAATGTCTTTATGAACCAAGAGTTTGAGTTGAAGCATTAACTTTTTTAACTGATAGACATCACAGGCAGTTAAAAACAAACTCATTCTGATGTTGTTGAAATTTATGAGTGTTACCCAAATGACAATTTGACCTTTTGCCGTGGGAACCGCCTTCTCTGCTAGATGATGAAATATTGATTCCTGATTTGCAAAGGCAACCATAAATGACTGGATTTAAATCATAAATAAAAACACTACAACTTCAGCAGTTCTGTCTTTCCTTTCTGTGTGTGTGTTTTAAAGCCCCGAAGGGCAATTTTGAGAATGAAAGTACATTGTTTTGTTGCTTATGTCGTATCATTTGTGGAGCTTTTGTTGCAGCAGAACTTTCAAAATGTAAATCACATGATATGTAGAAACAACAATCTCTGTTTAAACATTAATAGTAAAAAACATCATGGTTGGCAAAATATATTACATCTAATCCCCTTTTTTTTTTTGCAAAAGTATGTGTACTGTTAGAACTTTAACAGAATGATATGACTTTTGAGAGTATTATGTGACAAGCTGTCAGAAATTCGATCTGCATTTAGAAGTGGAAAGAAGATAGAGTGAGGAATATAATTATTTAAACGCCCTGCTATTTTGCAAGTATTCCCACTTAGAAATCATGGAGGGGCCTGAAATTTTCCACGTGGGTGCATGTCCACTTTGAGAGACATAATCTAATAAAACCAAATCCAGAAATCCCAATGCAGTGGCGGCTAGCTAATAGAGGGCGCTAGGTCATCGCCCCACCCACTCAATGAACCTGATTAAGACATAAAAAAAAAAATACATTTTAAATTAAACTTTTAAATATTTTGAAATACATGAATATATATTTTTTAGATGTGCAAGATAAATATATACTCTTTAATTACTAGTAAAGCTTCATTCCATTTTTCGCCAGACTAGTGATGTATTTCCGCCCTAGGGTGCAAAAATCTTTGCCCATTGATTCTCGTTAAAAGTTGTACATGTACAGCAGCTCCTCTGCAATACAAAGGTATAGGAGAGCTCTGGGTGCAGGAGAGCTGCGCCCCGAAGGTGACAGGAAGTGTATTTGCTCACCACCTCCCGCCACAGCGCAGACTTTTTGCAGGTGATTTATAGGTCGAGTTGCAGGAGTTGGAGACTCATTGGAGATAGAGAAATTGCGCAAGAAATGTCCCTTTCCAGGACCTGGTTTGTCTAGAAGGCTTGGCTAACTGCAGGTAGCGAGGCTAACACTTCATTCTGCTTTCCCTGCCTCCTTTTTCAAGTGTCATGATCTGACCCAGCATGGATAAAGACAGATAGGACTGATTTGTAGCACTTTTTTGAAAAGTCAAGGAAGCATGAACAATATGGGATTCATATGGAAAATAATATATTATAGTGTACTATTTCTAGGTGTTTGTTATTTTGCATAGTTGCTCTTAAATAAACACATTCTCAGAAAATAAATAGTTTTTTTATATCAAAAAATATATATAAAGCTGACTAATAGCTTCTCCATTATTAAACTGGCACATAATTTTTTTGGGTTGGTGAAACAATATTAGATCATGCAAAACACAGATTTGTCTTTACAAAGCCTCAGAAGGGCAAGCTATATGTACGTAAATAAACCTACACATAAAATTATGTTTTGTTTTTATAAAGTGTTTTTATAATATTTGTTGTTGTTGGCATTCATATGAATATACTGGTGTGATAACTTTGTCTAAGTTTGATTGGTTTTTGGTATACGTCTGTTTTGAATTTATAGCCCTCCCTGGAGAAAACTCCACCAGCCGCCACTGTCGCAATGTATGATTTTTTTTTTTTTTACTTTTTATTTGTATGATACAGCTGCAAATAGGCATTTTAACACCTGTGAAAATCAATGTTAATATTTGGTACAGTAGCCCTTGTTTGCAATTACAGAGGTCAAACATTTCCTGAGTTTTTCCACTATGTTTGCACACACTGCAGGAGGGATTTTGGCTCAGTCATCGATGCATATCTTCTCCAAATCAGTCAGGTTTCTGGGCTGAGTTTGAGCTCCCTCCAATGATTCTCCATTGGGTTTAGGTCTGGAGACTGGCTAAGCCAAGCCAGAACCTTGATATGCTTCTTCCAGAGCCAATCCTTGGTTATCCTGGCTGTGTTCTTCAGGTCATTGTCATAATGGAAGACCCAGCCTCGACCCATCTTCAATGCTCTGTCCCATGTGCAGAAAAACACGCCTAAAGCATAATGATACCACCCCCATGCTTCACGATAGGATTGGTGTTCTCGGGATGGTACAGTACTCATCATTCCTCTTCTTCCAAAAAACGATTAGTGGAATTATGACCAAAAAGATTTACTTTAGTCTCCTTGGCGGAATAAGCGGGAGAAGATAGATCGAAATCAAAGTTGGGTCAGCCTGAAGTGTTTTTTATTTTTTTTTAACACTTCAGTTTTGTGTGTGACACCAAATCCAGGCCTCCATTACTTAAAACATTTGATTCCATTGATGATTGATGTGTGATTTTGTTGTTGGCATATTCAACTTTTTACAGAAATAACTATTCAGTGAGAATATTTCATTAATTCAGATCTAGGATGTGCTATTTGAGAATTCCTTTGCTTATTTATTAGTTTGTCAGCAGCCGAGAAAACTTGCTGCTGTTATTTTTTTTGTTAATTTTTAAACACTGGTTGCCCCTTTGGTTCTTTAATTGAAATCTCTTTAAAATGATCTTTAACTAAATAAATCAATCTTAAAATTGTAACCTCTTAAGTTTGTTATAGATCGGTTAAAAAAAAGACAACCATTAATAATGATCTGCTTTGCTTTTCTGTCATTTTTATTTTTTAGATAAATTGTAAAAGAAACCCTTGTTTTAAATTAGAGCCAGTTAGTCAAACTCCACTCTTAAAACGTTTTCCCAAATACTCGTGCATTTGTTAGACTTTCTCCCCAAACACCTACATTTCTGTTAAGGGACACTTTCAAAGTCAGAACTACTTATGATCACAGGAGTTCCACATCTGAGACAAAGCAAGGAGACATCAGCTTGCTGCCCAGCAAGACAGCAAAGGCCTCAAAGAGCGAACAACCTGCCACTCAGTATGTCCCCCTGTCTTCTGCGATATTGTCCTTTTCAAGTGCCTGTTTTACTCTTCAACATGTTGGTGCTGTTTCATGTCTGCTGATCAAACACAGGAGAAAGCATCAAATGGAAAACAACGGTAATTTCTTTCTATAACGGTTCTTCTAGTTGTCAGCAGTTTGGGGGTCAGCTCACAGTAGGTGTGTGAGTATTTCAAATCTTCCTCAAATCATATTGAAAATGAGAAACATGGAGGATACAGAACATCTTTATGTTACTGTAATGGAACTCCCATCTTAAGGTGTGCAAAGGCTGAGTTGTACTCTGAGAAATTTTATTTATTCTTTTATAATGCAGAAGGTGAACAGATGGATATTACACATGTATTGACATTTGAAAAAAAGTGCTACTAGTGTTTATTTCTTTTTTTTTCTTTCATGTTTCTTCTTGTCACACAGGCTTTAAAGCTGCTATTATTTTTGTCTTTCAGGACTCCCCATTTTAGTATTAACATTGTCCATGTCAAGTTAAGCTTTTTTTTTATTGTGGGCATAAGTAAATGTAACAACTATTTATTTTCTGTTTAAGTTTCTTTTGGAGTTTTCAGTTACTCTTTATGTCATTCTGTGTATTCTTGGTCTATTGCTTCTTTTCCATTTTTTGTCATTCTAGTTGTTTTCTAGTTATATTTAAGCAGTGTTGTATTTGTTTAGTTACTCTCTGTTGCCCCCTTGTGACAGTCTCCTTTTCCACTAGCTCCCTTCTAGTTATTTCTGTCCACACCTGCTCCCTATCTGCTGATTAGCTCATTCTTTATTCTGTCTCCTATATATAAAATCTCCTGTGCAGCTGGATTCTCTTCATTACTTTACTCCTTATGTTAGTTTCCCTGAGCTTGTCCTAGTTGTTGATTCCTGAGTTGTGTGTTGTTTCTGGATTATCTGCTTCTTTACGATCAACAACTTCATTAGATCTGCAAGAAATCCTCTCTGCCTCTCAGTCTTTGCATCTGGGTCCTCAATTAATATCCACCAAACGATGACAAAAAAAATTCTTTAATCCATGCAGACTATACAAAGTATGTCAAACATTTTTCTAACATTCATGTTTTCTGTAAAATAGATTTCTGTCTGTTTAAGGAATGGGCACATTTAACATGTCTTTCATAAAAACGTAACTTAGGGGGGAATGCCCTAGTGCTTATGGCATTGCGCTTGGAATCCAAAGGTTCTGAGTTCAAGCCCCACTCCCGCTGACTGCCACTCTAGGTCCCTGAGCAATACCCTTAACCCCACACTGCTCCCCGGGCACCGCACAATGGCAGCCCACTGGTCCCCAAGGAGATGGGTTAAATTCAGAGTTAAATTTCTGTAGTGTGAGATCAGTAAAGTTCAATTATAAAAAAAAAAAACATTTTTCAAAATTAATAAACAAGTAAAAGGCTTTTGGTGAAACTTTAATAAAAGACACTCAAATGTTAGGTCAGTCTTTATTTCGATTCCAATTCCTTTTGATTCAGTCATAGAAGTTTACATCTTTAAATGACCTGGCAAAACGGGGTTCTTTCTGGATTAAATAGTCTGAACTACTGTATGTCATGAATGTTAACTCTTTGAACTTTTAACTTTGCGTAAATTTTACTATAAATGAACATATAGTTATTTTTGGCCAGTGTATAAAATATCAAACTGATGAACTCTCATATAAATCTTATGGTATTTTCTGTCACAGGGTAACACTTTAATGGAACTTTCATAATGAAAACATCATTAAAACACCCTTACGCATACATATGTCTGACGCTGCAGGTACTCATTCAGTTGTTTGGTTTTATTAGGTAAAAAAAAAATTCTAATTGAAATAAAATAAACAAGCAATGTTTGGCTTAAAAGTATACATAAATTTGGCAGATTTAGATTAAACAGATTTTTATTCTATCTAGAAGGTGTATTCTATTGTAACATAGAAGGAGGAAAAGGAAACAGATGGTTGCGCACACACTGCATTGTTCAGGCACTCTTTGATCCGGTTTTTGTTGAAGCCTTGGTGTTCAGGAGTTTCAGTCAAGGCAAATCAAGTCATGTTAAATGCACCAGGGGAATCAAAGAACATGATTTACACAGTGTCATCTCTAATGTTATCCTCAACCCCAACTCTGCAGCAATAAGCAAACTGCGAGGGCTCATGATTGCTGCTTGCATAAGTGGG